GTTCCAGAAGGCTCGTTGAGTAGGTTTACTGTTGCTTGTCGAGGGATATTTCATAAAGACCTCACCGGGACCCTTGTAAGAGCTTCAGGACAGGAGCAATTAGAGAAGGTCTTCTGAGGTCGACGACGATTGCAGATGATGTCATATGCCGGAGACGGTGAAGGCAGTGAAGGAGGGCTTGCGTCTACTTACATTTGATGAGTAAGTTGCTGCGAGTATTCCGCCAAAGATGACATTTGTGCGACGAAAAATGGCCGAAGTGCGACCTGGATAAAGCGCAGTATTTTGCCGCACCCCCTCTCCCTTATATGTATATGAGGGATGTGGTATCGTGATCCAACTCATTTCTTCCAGAACGTAGCAAATTAGCTTTGCAACGTGATCTCTGGCATTCACTGATCAAAAGCAATTCTGAAGCGTTGCAAAGCTTCGCTCACGATGCCGACGAACATTTGAAGCTGCTCGTCATGAATTAAGCTAGTGGCTACTGGAATACCTTCGAGACAGAAGGCTTGCTAATTCCAAAAAACGCGAGCATACTCTTCCGAGCTCGGGCTTTAGATTAGCTGGTGGTTTTGGCTGCGAAGCAGCTAGTAGATTAGTCGCGTGTTATTGTCGTAGTGGGGTCCACTGCTGATGAATCAAGACCCAAGCAAAAGATTGCCTATTTAGTGGCAGGGGATTCCTTTGCTGACTGAGCTTCTCAGTTGTGGTCAGTCAAGGTATGCGAAGTCTATTGGAAATTCATTGTGCTGCAACTCCTCTCCTTCATATAGCAAATGCTGGTGCAGTAGCTGCATCCAGGTGTCTGCTACAATTTTCTCGTACACTTCAAATCCATTTCCAATCCATGCACTTCCAATCCATGGAAAAAGGCATTTCCAGCGAGAGAAATTGGAAAATTAGTTGACATTCAACTTCCCAGCTCGTCAAACATAGCAGTAAAGTTTGCTCCTTTCTTTTTTGCAGTGGTCTCTATTTTATGCTAATGAAGCATAGTCTGGCAAACTTGTCATTGATCTACTTTGATTATTATCTAGCTATAATCTTAGTGCTTGACCTTCTGGATTCTGTCAATAAGTAGAGTTCCTGAAATATTCCCCAATATACAAAGATATTTGCGGGGACGTTGTATCAAGCAGAACCAATTTGAACAGATATTGGCCAGGAATATGAAACATCCCAATACTATTAGGTTGTCGGGAACCGCGCATTCACTTCTCCTCTAGCAAAATCTTAGGGATCATTTTTAACATTCACTGTGAGACGTATGTGAACGATGGTTAATGCTCTCTTTACAGCATTTCTGTCGTAGCATTTTTCAGCTATTGATAGCTGAAAAATCGCCTTTCTCTGAATTATGTTCAACAGCTCATACTTCTATAAAACTTGAAAGTGCGTCGATTGAGGCGAAGCGGAAAGATGCCGTGCTGGGGTGCAGCTCAGGACACTTTTCCATAACATCGCAATAACTAATTTTTCGAAGTCAAGACTTGAGAAAAAAACACAAATCCGTTCGCGCTGTTACACTGGATGACGAGTGTATTCAGAAGTCGACTCTAAAGGTCTTTGGTGCGGTGCAATTCAGGGAACTGCAGAACTCTTCCAGTTGTAGACTTATCAAGAGCAGTAGCCATTCGTCAACATCGTCTCGAAGGCCGGTGAAATTCCGGCGAAACGATATTTTGTCATCTGAATGACCACCGGTTATGGAGTTTCTTTTGAACATTTTGATTCACCGCCTATCTCTCGTGAAACCCGAGAACGTTGTTCGTGGTTATGTGATGGACTGGATTTGTTTTGTAAGGTGTACGCGGACGCAACACTGGCTAGGAGTCCCGGAACTAGAGATTCCAATGAAGATTCAAGCACTGCAGTTCGAGAGGCAACTTTCAAAATTGAAAAGCTGCAAACGCTTTGTTCTCTGAGTGTTACCAACCAATTCCACTACTATTTCTGACCGATATTGGGAAAGTTAATTTAATCTTAGCAACGCTCGATGAGAAAATAGGAAGAAAGTCCAGCAACTCTTCAATTACAGGGGGTAACATTTATGTTACAGGGGGAGAAACAAGCACTTCATCGACAACGCATATTAGCAATGTCAGTGCATTACATAGAGTGACAAAGACGTATCACTGCAAAGTATCCCTATGTTTCCAGTCAAATCAAGCTTTCGCCATTGTTCTCACCGCCTTTCAAAGACTGAGCCACGCGCCATCGCTGACGCGCTCAAGGAGGGTAAATGGTTCAGTCTGAAACAGCTGCATAACTTCGTCGCTTGAGGCCTGATGCACGGGCTCCTAAGGACTGTAGCTCCGATTGTGCAGTATCGCTGGCACCCTGTAGTTTGGGCAGCGTCGATACGCAACCCTAGCGCAGTACCTGTTCAAAAGTCCCTGGGCTGATATGGAATTGTGTGTTGAACTTCGCCACCGTGATCCCTGCGCAGTGCGCTCAGGCTCTGCCGTACTCTTTGACCGCGATCGCGCGCTATGCTCTGCATCCGGCCACCTCCAGCCTAGACTACTGAAGCGAGCCGCTGTCGGTCGGAGCGCTTCGCCCTTTTTGGAGGGGTTGCTCGGCGAGAGTCATGAGGAAGCTGTACGGCTCGGTGGGTCACTAGCCCTTAGCAGCATAGGCGGGCAGCTGTCTTGTCGGAGCGCTGGTACTTCAGCGTCCGCTTCACCCTCAGATAATTGGCAAGGTACCCCTCATCGTCAATGGACTACGTACTACATGAACGTCTATTAGCTCTCCAAGCGTTGCAGTATCGTGACGGTAAGATGTCAAGGATATCGTCGCTAATAAATTTGAGTATCAAATGAGTAGTTTGCTGTGTAGAGTTTCACATATGGGGCGCCAGTGCAGGGGCCCGTTCAAGGTCTGTGTGCTGTTACTATTGCGAGGTTGTAGTCGAGGACGGGAACCCTCGGTCTTTAGGCTGGTGAAAACTGGGTCGACGGCAGGCCACCCGCGTGTTGTTCTTCTCAAACCCCGTTCCTAGGTTACGAATCTCTGACGTCGGGGGCGGGGGCCATGTACGGGGAACAGCATGGTTACCAGGAAGGACCAAGAGTGCATCGTGTCAGAGGTTGTTCAAGGCAACTGCGCCCGAACCACGGCACTGTGAGAAGAGGAAGGCTGAACCAGGGTCAACCGTCACGTTCGAACATTTTCGGGATTTTTGCGACCCCCTAGCTCTCGAGGGGGTCCAGTTGCGACCCCCTGTTTTTGTTAATAAGAGTGCTAGACATGAATCCGTTGCGCCAGAAAGCGTCTGCGCGTCGTCGCGTCGGCGTCGGAAGAAAAAATTTTAGAGGGGAATAACTTTCTTGGGACGTATTTTTTGACTTGTTGAGGTAGATTTTGATTGTGCCTGAGGTGCGCTTCCAGAAAACTACAAGGATTGCCTAACTCTCCGGAAAGTACTTCTGTTAGAAGTGGAAAACCCAAAATTCTAAGAAGGCGCACCTTCAACTTTGAAGGCCCATAAAATCTTTCGTATGCGACATTTTGGAAATCTGTAAAAGTTTCAAATATTTCTCTAACAAAATAGTATAAAAAGTTTAGTGATTGTCCCCTTTTTCAAAAAATTGTCCCGTTCGAACATTTTTCGTGCAAAAGCGAGTTTTTGGGCTTTCAGCGACCATAACTCACTTCATTTTCATTTCTGTGATGCACTTTTTTCATATTTTTCGAGAAAATCACACGTTCGAACATTTTGGGGGGTTTTGCCGAACACTTTTTTTGAAATCGCGAGTTTTTGGGCTTTAAGCGGGCATAACTCACTTCATTTTCATTTCTGTGATGCACTTTTTTCATGGGGTGAAAGTACAGGATTTGCTCTTTCTAACAAGCACCAAACCGTTTTTCAAAATCCATTTTCCGAGAAAATCACACGTTCGAACATTTTGTTCCCATAGGTTTTTGAGCAGCACATGCGAGTTTTTGAGCTTTCAGCAATAATAACTTCCTTCAAAGAACTTGTTGGGGAGGGGCGAAGACATTTTTGAAGACTACGAGATTTCTGCTTTCTTATGTGTTTTACCGTTGTCTGGAAGAATCGTCCTCAGAAAATTAGGTCCCGAAGAACTTTAATTTCAGCCCCGAGAAGTCAAACCTTTCATAGGGATGCATTCAACTGTTCTTTATTCCTCAAGAAAACACCGTAATTTGCCTAAAACTGTCTCTCTGTGCATAATTAATCGAATCTAATGCGGTCTGCACAAACAATTCTTGCCCTCGGATACGCCACGCACGCGCCTGTGGCTGGCAGTCCTCGAAATTGCGACCCCCTTCCGACCAAAATGCGACCCCTTCGTTCGAACAGTTCGAACGGACGGTTGACCCTGGGCTGAACTCGCGTTCATGGAGCCCGAATTCTAAACAAATATCAACTAGACTTCAGGCTACTCGATGATGATATCTTGCTAGTTATCCTTCGATGAGCAGCAGTGTTTCCTCGTCCATTGTCCTCACTATCTTCGAATATGAAGGCACCTCCGCTACGCTGTCAGCGGCAATGCCGTGACAACGTCGCACCTCAGTAGAACTGAGCAGCGGTGTATTTATGGAAAAACGCCAACTCATCCAGAGTCGAAGGGAGTGGAGATCTAGATAAGGACTGCACTGACCGACTTCTCGTTGTGCTTCCTTGCCCTCACTCTCTCCGGTGTCCAGTATGAGCAGCATTTCCTGGACCTGGGTATTAACTCTAAGAAATCGGTGTCCCGAGTCCGAAATTGACATCATGTTCGCCTGACACAATCTTCTGATGTCGCTTGCGCTTAAGTCTAGTGGTTTCACATGATGGGACTGAGTGTACTGTTCAGCTTCGGTGGAGGGATCCTGCTGGGGTTAATTAAGGTTGGACTAACGCGGTTATGTATGTAGAAGAATCACCTCTTGTGTGCATATACCATGAATATAGAACGTATGAAGCATGCGTAATTAATCGTGAAAGAAATCGGAAATTTTTGCAGAAAATGCAGTATTACGCTTTCTTGTTCGTTTTCTTGTTTTATTTGGATTCAAAGTGAGTCTTCGGAACTACAGAGAACATTAAACGCTGCTCGTCGATCTAATAAATATTTCTTCGAAGATTCAGAAATGCGTGATACACTCATGTTCCATCTCGAATGATTACTGGCGCGTAGAATATGCAGGCAGACCGGTCTAGAGGAAGAAAGT